TGGAGTTGGGTGCATACACACGTCATCCTAAAATAAAATAGGATTCTTGGGGCATATCTAGCGATATAGCCCCACTTTCATTCAAGGTCTTTTGGCACACTCTCGAGGGAATGTGTCTTTTTGCGAGACAAGACAGGGCATTGCAGGCCCAACGCCTTTCCTAATTTCCAATCAAATTTCAAGTACTACACAAAATAGTTTTAGGCAAGTAAGCAACTCACCTCCTCTTCCTCGCATTGTCATATTACTTTGTTCTGTCTCCTTTCTCTTTTGACATTTTCACTAAGTCAAAGAAAAAACAAAAAATAAAACACCCACCTCTCTTTGTATAAATAATAATTAACATCTACCAGGTCAAGTGCTCCATCATCATCTCTTCTCTCTTTCTCTCTCTCCCTCTCTCTCTCTAATCTTAAAAGTTAGCGCAATCCTTTCTGCCTTGCATTCACTCTTTTCTTGCCATTATAACCAACGCAAAGGCACAGAGGTGGGCTAGGATTTCTAGGTGGATCGAGTCTTCAATGGCGGAGGATCAGGACTGGGATTTGTATGCAGTAGTAAAGAGCTGCACCTCTGCTGCTGCTGCTACAAGCAGAAATAGCAGCGGCAGCAACATTAGTGAGAATTTTGAGAGCCCTTTTGAGTGCTTGGATTCTTTAACTTTTGATGAAGATGATGGAGAATCCAACCCATTTTCTTTTCCAAATCTTGCTTCCCAGCCTAGAAACAACAACTGTTTGCAAGATTCTTACAAGCCTTTTTTGCCTAACTTCACCACCAGTACTGGTCTTCAAGGTAAGAACGCAACAACAATATTCCTAGCTTCTCCATTTATGATTTTAGGGTCATTTTTAGTGGCCAAAAGCAATCACAACTTGCACAACAACAGCAACAACAACCACAACCACTAACCACACCGTCCACTAGTGTTGCCATTAGTCCCTAGTTCAACAATAGCCAAAAGCAGTCACAACATATACAGCAACAACAAAATCAAAGGAGATAATTGCACCAGCAAGGGACTAGCACTTCTTCTCTCTTTCCTTTAAGAACAACACAACCTCAGACCCCAAGAAAAAAGTAAGTAGGTTAATTAAATTCTTCATTTCTCGTTAGATTATTATTACTCATAAATGAGAAAACTTTACAAAATGCTCATGCTTAAATTTTCCAACCCTTTTCCTTTATGACAGAAAAAGTAACCAGAAGAGGCTAATATCGCATGTAACAGTAAAGAATCTCTCTAATGATGTGTGGGCTTGGAGAAAATATGGTCAAAAACTCATCAAAGGCTCTCCCTATCCAAGGTTAGCCCTTTATTCCATTCTCATTTTTGCCTTCCTTTCTTTAAAAAGATTTTGATTCGTAGTCACTAAATATGGCCTAAAAATTGGGTTAATTTTCTTTTACAGGAACTACTACAGATGCAACAGCTCAAAAGGGTGTGCAGCAAGAAAGCAAGTGGAGAGAAGCAATACAGATTCAAATATGTTTATTGTCTGCTACACAGGTGATCACACACACCCACGTCTGACTCACAGGAACTCACTTGCCAGGAGTACAAGAAACAAGGTCCAACAACCAGCTCAAAAGCTGGAAAACAAAGAATCTGAGCATCTCATTTCAGCTGATAGGGGTTCGTGTTGTTCTCCACTTTCATCCACTAGTTTGTCTCCAAGAACCACACTTTCAACTCCCATTTACAATATTAAGGCGGTAGAAAATGAGCAAGAAAGCATCAAAACACATAATTTGGATGGCAAGCATGGATTGATGGGAAGCGATGATTATGAAGATGATGTCGATGATTGTGATAATGACATTAATGACGATTATGACGATGATCTTTTGA